TTAGTAATTAAAAATAATATTTAATCTCATTATTCATTTTATTCACGCAATTATAAAAAATGGAAAACCAAAAAATTCATGAAATCGCATCACGTTTGCTTAACAATCAATTAAACAACACTATTTATCAAACAAAAAGAACGCCTAACTCATATATTGTTTTCAGAACATTATATTATGAATAGCAAATGGAAAATTTTCAATATAGAAAATGTGATAACATCTCAGTAATTTGGAATAAAATGTCAGATAAAGAAAAAAAATTCTATCATCATATAGCTAATAAAATGAAAAGAATATTTGAAACCCGAAAACAAAATTTAAAAAAATAATTTATTTATTTCATGATTTGTTTATTTGTAAATAACATCATATATATATTTAATCGTAACTATTAACAAAATAAAAATACTCATTTTCGTGATCGTACGTACAAAGTAGGAAGGCAGAATTTATCGCTTCGTTTTGGGAAATTGTAACAATTTTTTCTGGTTCACCAGACATGTTTTCTTTTTTATTTATATGATTTGGATTTTTTAATAGGTTTAAATAATCTGTTATATCCTCAAACCATTTTCGAATCATATGACTTTCATTTTTCTATCTATTTGCGATAAACCTTGAAACCAATTCTTGTTTTGCAGTATATTTTTCTTTAACTATATCAGAAATTTCAGTTCTATACAACATAAACGAATTTGGTACCCGTGAACATTTATTTAAATATTTTTTATTATATTTTGCTAATATTTTTTTCTTGGATAATTCAAGATTAATATGAAGAGAATTAATATAATTTTGTATTTCATCATATTGAGATAGTATAATATTATTTTCCATGATGATTGATGATAATTTAAATTTAATATCTTTTATTGAATAAGAATTAATAATACAAAATTAATTTTTTAATAAACTTGTTCTTATATAAATTTGTTATAATTTCATCATAATCATTCTTTAAAAAATATTAGTAAGTATATTTTAATAAAATAATTAAAAAAAAATAAAATAAAATTAATTACCTTTCTCATCATCATCATCGTCTACATTTTGGTAATTACTTTTAGCCTTGATTTTTTCTTTTATTTCTCTGATATAATCTGATGTGTTTTGTATAAAAGAACAAATTTTTTGTATATTGAGATATTGTGAAATCAAAGATAAGAATAACCTAATTACAACACTAGTGGCCATATCAGAATTAAAATATTTCTGTTCGTTATCTTTCTTCTCATCATTTTGATCAGCATAACATATGATCACATTATTTGTAAAAATTAATTGTATTATAAATAAAATGACGATTGATAATTTGCAAATATTCATGTTTCTTGTTCTTTTCATCAAGAAATAACAAATGGCTTTTATGGGAAATCT